CACTGCGGTAATTTACACCTTGGTAATTTTTCCTCTATTTTTCCCCCTGTCTCTTTTACCCCATCACCTGCCCTCCACCCACCACCCTAGCCAGCTCTGAGGGGAGATCCTAATTGCTTTGCTCTCATCTTGAGCTATAGGTTGCCCCCGCGGGACAAAGCCTTGGAACTGAGGCACCCTCAAAGTAATTTAAAAGCCTATTTGATGGAAGATAAACATTATGGACACTTCATTAATTATTTACAGCACAGGTCGAAGTGATTGTGAGGCTATCCTCGATTGAAGTGGCATTTTAATATTTGGTAAATTTGGAAAGGACATCTACGTCATCTTGAGTGTATAACAACTAACACTTTCTAGATAATTGACATAGATCATTAATCCACTTTTGGATCCTGTGTAAATCAGGAAATGATTTATCAAAATTTTACTTTGCAGATGTGCTTTTACCTGCAGATGAAACAGCTATTCAAAGTAAAAGTAGATTAGTTTTACTTATAATCCATATGTTCAATAATATTAAGTACAGCTAAATTGTCCAATAAGTTAAAAGTGCTTCTTGAACTTCCTCTGACTCTTTGCACAGGGCATTTATGTCTAAAAACAAACTATACATGTTGACATAATTCTGTCATTGCCATTATGAGTTAGACAAAAAAAGCTGTTGGTAGTTTAGCCTGGAATTTATAGTCTTCATCTTTATTAGCATTTGCGTGCACTTCTGGGATAAATATACTTAGGGGCTTGGTTGACTGTTGTGGTTCATGATACTGAAGTTTGATCCAAAGCGGATTTGGATGTTGACGCCTCGTGTCACATGATCCATAGCCTTGCTCTGGTTGAGGTCACCTGATCTGTCTGACTTCAGCTGTCGAGGGGAAATAACACAGGGATTAGCCAACATTTGGGAAATCTGCGGATATGATTTATTTCCGCTTTGTTCACAGGCTTATAATAGTACTGAAATGAATAGTTTCCTGTATGTTTGCTCTGGCTATTTTGGTGGCCACAGTATCCCACTGTTTCTATGGACTCAATGAACAGTCTCAATGAACAATCTGCATGGGCATTCTCTATGGACAGTTGTGTCTCTGATACACAAACTGCTGCTATGATTTTTCACTGTAGTAATTTGAATTTAGATGAACGTCTTTTATGTTTTCCTTTTATTATGATACATTAGATGGCTGAGAATCATTGCAGTTGGGTACAAAGAGATTGTAATAAGTTTTACTTATTAACTATTAATGAATGCTGTTTTAAAAAGGTTTTGTGAAATGCAATTATTTAAGTTAGATGCAACATGGTACATATTTACCATAAAAGTATTCCACAATTCCCAAAAGACTGCATTTGCAAATAAATGCTGTTGTTATTGAAATACAGGACAATTGGATCCAGGGCCCTTCTCCAGAATGCACTGAATTAATAAGATTTATTATCATCCAGTTACAAGGCTGTTTATCAGTCTCTTTAAATACATTTCTTGATTCATTCTTGCTCTTAGCACTAGTTGTTTGTCTTATTCCTAATTAATTCTTCTCTAATGTATTATTCATTGTATATTGACACTATAGGCCTACTGGCAACCATACTAATTACATACGGTGGAATTTTACCCTGCAGTACTGCTTATATAAAATGAAACTCATGCAGTCCCAAAGTGGCAGCGGTATTTCTTTCTTTATAAGCCAGGTGGCGCTATCACATGGTTTGCAATACTAGAATTTAAGCAACATTTTTGCTGCGACTTTTCAGTTGTAGTTTTTATTGCTGACCTTCCTGTGTGCTTGCTCTATCATGAAGTACTGTCTCTTTTCAGTTTTGCACAGTGTAACCTCATGTGGCATTGTGAAGCTATGAGTAAGGAATTCCTATAGCAGCTATAGCTAGTGTCGGGGCTGTCAAGTGGAGGTGCTGCTATACTGCTATCTCACAGAGGTCACTGACGCTGAATGAGGACACACAGAAATACAGAAACAGAAGAGATACAAGTCTCCAATATGTCCCTGCAATAAATATTTATTAATTATAAGCTACTGTCAAGTCCGACTCCTACTGACAAACCACCAGCCATTGTGTCTTTGGACAAGACACATTCAATACAAAATTGTCAAATCACTTTGCAATACTTTTGTAAACAGACAATGAATTATAGTAGGTGAACGTCCTATATTGCACAAAATTGACTTTGGTGAGCTTTAAGCCATGTTATAATCAATAATGTTATCTCCTCAAAACATACTTGGAGATGTGTTTTGTTTTAATAACACATGACATGAATTTGAGTAACCCTTTATTATTACTCTGTCTACATCTTCAAAACTCAAGATGTGCTGTTCTGTGATGTCATGAAGCCAGTACTAGCTCCTTTTACCTTTAGTTCAGAAGAGATTGGCAATTCCAGGGCTGAGATCATCCAAATGATTCTAGTGAAGGTGTAGGGAGTTTAAAAATATAGTGGAGCACTTCCTGTATTATTACAAGTTTATTACAAGTGTTTTCTGTTTGAGAAAAGAATGACGCCTAAATATGCAGGGTTTGTGTGTTAAACATATGTGAATGAAACAAAACACAACTCCAGGTATGTTTGTGAAGAGGAAACAGCACACAAAGTAATTATAATAGCTCTTTTGTTTTCTAACAATCTTGGAACAAAATAATTGTTCTTCAGAAACAACACTGCTGTTGCTATGCTGGGAATTTCTAATGCCAGAAAATCTTAGCAAGCAAATTTGTTCAGGAACAGCTCAGTTACACCACTGTTCTGTCGTAAATCATACTAATAAAACAACAACAATTTAATAAATGTGAGGACTAAACCATTTATGTCTTATATATGTTTCACTCTTGTTTGTGAGCAAGAATCCAATTAGCTTCTTGTAATTATGTTTGACAGTGACATCATAATGAAATGTTACTAGAATTTATTAAAGATGAAAAATGTCTACATTTATTGAGGTTTCACAATACTCTCAATGCATCAGAACATAATGCAGTATATTCTGTAGTGACTATTTTGCAGTTTCACCCATACCAGAAGTCATACATGTTGACTGAGGACAACAGAGAAATTTAAAAAGAATACATCTATTCTATCCAGTCTCCAGCTTGCTCCTTTGTGGGATTACACTGATGTTTCTCCAATTTGTAACAGCAAAGACTTGATAACAAGATAAGATGCATACAGTTTTGTGTATCAACTTGCATCTCTGGCAGCACAGTGACACATAACACCACTTTTATCCCCTTCATTTTGTATTGACAAGTCCCATTCTCCTGCTATACAAGTCTTGTCATTTGATAGCCCCCATCATTAAAGCTTATGGATAGGGCAAATTGCCTACCCGGCTATTTCTTTTTTTTTTTTTTTTTTTTTTACCTTATATGGCTAAACTGGTTGACCTGAGTCGGCTTGTAACAGTCTACTGTGAAGTTCTAATTTGCCTTTCACAAATGTGCATTTGGCTCCTGCAGTCGTAGTCATGCAGTCATTTGAATGCAGGCTAAATAATGCTGATTCTGAAAATTGGCTGCATCATTTTTGTTGCTCATTTTGTTTTGTGGCATGTGAAAATCTCTCTCTGCAGCTGGAGGCAGTGACGCCAACAAGGACGTGAGAGTACGTGACAATATGACAGTCATTCGTATAATATGTTGAGAATATGTTTGATAATGTTTTGATGAGCTTGCATGTGTTACCAACACATGATTTTTCACAAATCAGCTCGTATTGTATATGTAGTATACAGTGTATTTCAAATGTATTATCAAACATTAAAAACTTCTTCTGTTCAAACATTTGTATTTATGCATGTCTGAGCACCAGAAGTCATGCTTTGAAATATTTAATATGAATTTATTATGTGCAGAATCTGAAAACTGCTCTTGTTTGTCTAATACTTATATGACCTTGGCCACAATTCACATTCTTCTATTCAAGATACCCCCGCCCCTCCTCCCTCTACCTCTCTCCCTCTCTCTCTCCTCCTCTGATCCTCCAATGAAATCCGCAGCGGGTCTCCTTACGTCAGCAACATTGCAGGGGACCTCTGTGCTCCAACCGCCATAACATTCAGCCCCTATCTCCTCCAGAGCTCATTAGTGTTCATAGGTAAAGGTGACAAGAACGGTCACAACACCTCTAAGTGATAAAAGACAACAGAAGGTGCACTACAGTTTTAGGTCCCTCATCAAAAGCAAGCCCAAAAGTCCATATATAGGGTATTAAGAGTTGCTTTGCTGCAGTGCACAATTTACATTCTACTCTCTATTGATTAATTGTGTATGCCCCATGGGAACCTGTATTGAGCTCAGTGACTGTAAGCGGGATTTTGGTATCCTCTGCATTTTAAATGGCTTTATGCAGCATGTCATTACTACTTAAGGCTACCTCAGCTTTCCCTGTGAAAGTTTAATTTGTTTTACTAGCTGTGACATTCATCCTTTGTGCTTTTTATAGCAACTTAGTTTATCAATCATCCTGAGAATATTTATTTGTATAGGCCAATTACACTTTGACTATTTACTAAGCATTAAATACAGCTAAACCTCACCCAGGGCCAGTAGCCTCTAGGCTATAGATTATACATACGCTTTTTGGGTTAAATTTGCTGTCTATTATTTTAGACAACGTGTCATCTAACAGGCCTTTTGCTTTGTAATTGTAAACATAATATTTATTTGGCCTCAGGGATCTCACTCGGTTATTATATAACCCTCTAAATATTCACACTAAACACATTAAAATATGTGTTTTGTTATTTCTGCTTAGCGTGATCGTACTCTACATTACAGGCTATTCCTCAGGTGATTCTATAAAGAGTGGTGTAACGTAGTAAATCATCGGATTATGGCTGTGTAATAATAGTCGCATCCATTTCCTCGGTGCGTAGGATTACATCTTGCTTGTGATGCTCATATGGCCTCTTCAGAATGTTTCCCTTTTCTACGAGCGACATAGTGTTCTCACGCGGATATGGCGCGGGATGCTGCTGGATCTCTGCTGATGCTGCTGCTGCTGCTGCTGCGGACAGCCTCTCCGCATCCTGCCGCCCCCCCGCGGACAAATCCGAATGGTCTGTTCCACATGAACCTGTCAGTGTCTCCGCGGCGGTGAAGGCAGCCGAAGTGAGAGCGCAGAGGGGGGACTGCCTGCCATTGCAGTGCGGCTGCTGCTGCTGCTCTGGAGCCACAGCAGAATACCTCTCCATTCCTCTCCTGAAGGATATTCACAAGTACGTCGTGAGGACCGTTGCTTTTAAGAGGTGAATGTCTTTCCTGACTTATTTTCCGAGTGCGTTACATGGGAGACCATTTTGCTGTCGCTGCAGGAGCAGCCTGGATGTGTCCCTCTGCGGGAACAGGCGATAACGCTGCAAGTGGAGGTACCGCTACCTCCGCGCTAGCTCAGCTAATTGTTAGCTCCATCTCCGACTGGCTAATGTTATCATGTAAATGGTGGTATATGTAACAATAGTTACAATTCCATTTGACGTGCTTTGCTCTATGGTTAGGTTTTTATGTCAGAAAATGGGTTGTGGTGGAGCTGTCAGCAGGCGGACTGCTGGCTCACGTCAAGTGCGTCCAGGTAGCGTTAGCCAGGGCTAGCCTTGCTGGCGAACAAAATGTCGGCCAGCTAGAGTTGGTTTGACCAAGGCACTTTGAAGGGGGCATAAGATTTATTAAGTGCATTGCTATGTGAGGTAATCAGAGAGCGGTGACATAAGATCAGATGCCGTAAATATGGCATCGGTTTTCCTAATTAAAGTGGGGCTCATATGATGACCCACCTTGTTTAGATGGTCAGCTAGTAAAACTTGAGTGGTAAAGCTAGGTAGCAGTGGGCTAGTGCTAGCTTGTTAGCTGGCGTTTGGTGACACTTGAATACTAACCCGCCTTTCAGTCTCGGTGAATAGGCATAAACCAGAGGCTTAAACCAAAGGCATGCCGTTTATCTATGGCATCCTCCTTGTTACCACATTGAGCTTTGGCCAGGATGACCCAGGATGACTAACTGCCCAGTCACTAGACCACCTTAAGCATAAAGTCACCTGTTGAATGTTAATGATGTTAAATGTGATGCTACTTTCTGTAAATGACTCAGATTTAACACCCCAAGAGGACATGATCTTACTTAAAATAAATTATACTGTGTCTTATTTTACATGGTAAACACACTACTAAACTAGTAACTTTACTAGGGAATAATTGTAAACCCTTGGTGGCTGCTGAATGTCTTTATTTTCTTTGGTTGATGTTTTATGATATTAATAATGCACTGGATATATAAAATGGCATTCAAAACTTCCATTGCATTGTTCGTTCATTCTCTGTAGTTGTAAGCTACTATTGTTGCCACAGTTGCCCAGGGGTAGACTGACAGGTGTAAGTGCATATGCATTAAATACAAACTTGGCAGTAAAGTTGTACATTTGACCTGGTTAATGAGAAAAACTTCTTGCAATAAGTGAACCTGGGGTAGGGTGAAACTATGTCCCAATTTAGCCTCGTCGAAATGCAATACAAGGAAAGTATAGCGTGAATCACACTAGAATATACTGAAGTTATATGGTAAGCTCACTGTCCCATTGAATTTGGCTGGTCTGAGTTTCTTTCACTGTAAATTATAGTTCATGTGTCTGACAGGTTGAAGGCAGGCAGAACTCTGGATAGTACAAATTAAATATGACTGGTATTAGATAGTAGTAGTACACAGAAATATATTTTTATCTGTACAAGGTAACATTGTTGTTAAGGCAAACATGTCACTGGAGATAAGAATATCTAGTGGCCCAAGGACAAGCATACATGTTGGACAGTAAATCATGTCACCCTAAGCTGTCAAGGGAGCAGCAGTCATCTGAGTCAGTGTGGTTTTGGAAGGACAAACATGTTCAATATTTCACCTACTTTTGTAAAACATGACTGCAGCGATGTCAGGAAAAAGTATGTCTCACTATTAGAGGATGACCTGTTGTAACTCTATGTGATCTGCTGCATGCTAATTAGCTTGATGTACTCTTTTTATATGACCATGTGAGTACCATTAAACGTGATGTGTTTCCAAAGCTTACACTTCATATAAAAATCCCCATAAAAGTGGTGGTTTATTTATACAAGAGATCTAATGGATGGCCTTGGGAATGGCTCTCTTGGATTAAAGCTGTGGCTGTGAGGAGATGGGATGCTGGAACCATGTCCAAAATGACTTTGAACATGTGTGTCTCAGTGCTAGTGCTTGCCTCGAACTAATAGTGGAATAAAAATGTGAATACGATTTAATGACTGTCTACAACAGCCTTAAGTATTCTTCTATGACTATGTGACTGAGTTGGCCTTATTATAATGACTTTGAGATTTGGACAATACTGCATGGTGTGTCTTGTTAGTGTCAAGTTTAGTTTTTCCAAGCATTTGTGCCGTATTGAGAGATCAGAAAGTGAAAAAGTACATCTCGCCTGTGTATTTTGATTTAGTTAGACTTCTTAATGTGTACCCTCTGTCACAGAGTTGTGTATAAAAATTGGACCAAAAACCTAATTCCTTTTATTGAAACATGAGTCACCATTTCCATCCCTGCCTCTTAACATTAAACAGTCACTGCAGCGACAGGCGACTAGACCGGGGCATCTTAAGAGCAGCAGGCCACCCATAAAGCCCTGGCATTATGTGCTCATTGTCCGATATGATTTTGTTAACAAACGTAATGTTCATGGTTACGTCTCCACTGATGCAGATGCTCCCTTTGGCCCAGAATAAATCAACTCCATCGTAAATCTCTTTTGAACGAGCTGTGTGGGATTATCAAGGTAACAAGCCCCGCAAATTCACTCATCAATCACATTTTAGTATAAGGCTCCTTTTCTCTTCCAGTACTGTAACATCCTTTATCGTTGGAGGTTTTCATTGGCGCCGGCGTCCTTGTTTCAATCACGGTGATGGAGGGGAGGCGGGGCGCTGTGGGTCAGTGGCACAGGGCTTATCAGCACATTCCTGCCCCCTCTGTGCTCTGTGTGGGCTCTGATAACTTCCACTGGTCTGATTGGTCTCCAGAGCTGGTTTCCAGGTCCACTTTTCATGCAAAGGACCCAGGCACGCGAGGGGCAGTTTCAGTTTGTTTTTCTCATACTGTACTGATACGAAAAAAAATGTTTATTTCATTATAAGAGGCAAAGCACATAACAATGGTAGTTAGCAATAAAGTCTGAGTTTTAATGTTGACAATGGATTCAGTCATTCTTTGCTCAAAGTTTAAGGAACTTTGTTCATAATTCCTTGTTCCCATACTTGAAAATTCATACATAGTTGAGGAAAACGTAGGATTAATTAGCAGTGACATAGCAAACCCTTTGCTGTTTACCATAATAGCAAGTAATGTACAATGGAATAACATTTAATTGTAAACAAATGCACTATATTGGACCATACAGTAATGCTATGATATAACCACATCCAAATTATGTATGCTTGATTGGATTAAAAAAGAACAACAACTTATAGATCAAGTATATTTTTTTACTCAAAATTTACTGGATGTGTTCTGTGGGTCACCTTTGTTGACACACACTTACTCTTTACTTTACTTTATTTTAATTGACTTAAATTGAATAACTCCAGGCCATGTTGTCCAAATATTCTCAAGTGTTTGTTGTATGTCTATTGAGACGATGACAGGCTGTACGCGGCCGTTTATCTTGTGTACAGACCAGTTGGTGTGGGAGCAGGATTTGCAGCTCGGGTTCTCCACGTGCCTTTTTGCTGGATGTGGAAGTGATTCATTTTGCGCTCGCTCGGCAGAAGTTGCACAGAGCCCCAGTTATGTGTGGAATCTGTCACCAGTGCTGGGCCAGAGCTGTGAGGGATGTAAATTTAACTCTGGATCTGTTGCCCGCAGTGACCGTGTGACTGTCAGACCTGTCCCAAACCATCATTATCCTGCTCATGATAAGCGCATCCCTCGACCCGCACAGCCTGGGTTCAATCCTGGGACCATTTATACAGAGCACTTAAAAATCTATGTACAGTTTTTTAGGACTGATAAATTCTGTTGAGATTTTGATATCAGCCCCATAACTCCCATCTCCCATTTTTCTGAAAGTCATTTTATCTTGGATTATAGTGGATTATATCACTAAATATGATTCCCAGTCTATTAAACTCTCTTAAATTATATGGAACTTGCATTTCCCACAATTACAAAATTTCACTGCAGTAAAAAATGTGTTCTTGTAGTAAGCAATATTCACATAACCAGTTATAATTAATCTATCATTGGCTGTCTGATCTCTCTATTGCTAACTGTAATTGATGTAAAAAATCCAACCAAACCAACTATTGATTTTAGGTCATGTTATCCAGTCTTTGTTAATGTCTTCCGTTTCTTTTTCATTCAGAATCAGGAGGTCATGTGACTGATGTTAAGCATAGCCTCTACAAAATCCTGTCTTGTCTAAAATATTATTGAACTAAATAGAAATGAAAGCAACACATCTTTTCAGTTCTTTAGTAGTAGTTATTGTTTTTTTGTTTTTTGTTTTTTTTAATCCCAGTGATTTTCTGCTCATTAAAAAGGTTGGCCCATATTGTAAGATGCTTCAATTTGCCTTGGGCTGAATTTTCATAGTGAAGCTTTCCATCTGCCTCTTTGTAGAAACCTATTATTGAACAGACTGTTAAAAGACAGTTGTAAACACAGGAGAAACACAACTCAAGTTCTCCTTTTAAGTCAAAGTAAAGGGTTGTTTGATGCCATGCTTCAACACACCTATTGTGTCGGTCATTTTTCATAACTGTTGATCTTATTGATACTCGAAAGCTGATAACCTTCAGCTCCTCTGTCACTTCAAACTTGAATCAATAAATCTATAGAGAGCCATTAAATAATCGCATGTTGCTGTACTATTTGTGCTGGGATGATGGATTTCCTCGGCCTACCTCGTGGAGAGTGGAAAATCACGGTCTCAACTTCTCACTTGTCCAGTTTATTCCCAAGTGATTTATCGGGAGCTGCTCGGTAACACTGTTAGCAGGTATAGTGTTGATGATGTTGTCTTGGAATGACTGTCACAAATTGGCTACGCGTATCTATCAAAATGTAGTTGTTATTGAATTATAGCTGTAGGAAAAGGTGATATGGTGGAAAAAATATGTTTATTGTATTTAATTATTTTTCTTGTCACCTTGGTAATGATTGTAATTTAATCAGAGTTCTATATAATGTTGACTTGGCAGAGAACAGTTGATTTGTTATTTTTTATTTTATTGT